AATCAACGGCCTCAAACCAGGAATACAAGTTAACATTAATTTTTCAAGGTATGGCCAATAAAGAGAAAATCCCATTACTGCCTTTATGGTACAAATTCCTGTACTACAGAAGATGAATGGTCATGGCTCCCTTGGTTGGAGGATTCAGTTATTGTTTGTAGGGTAGTTAGAAGAAATGCAAGTGTTAAAAAAGAAACTCATCGGGAGGTGTATTTCCTGGCCTTTGGCTGCACAGACCTTAATTAAAAGCCTATTGTCCTGTGCTGGCACCTGCCAACTTCTTACACAGATGAGCGCTCGCCAGCAGCAGAGAGCTGGACTAAGCTTTCCAAGGAGGCCATGACTGCTGCCAGGGGAATGTCAAGCACATTTCTGAGTCTGTTTTAGCTCTGCAGCCTATACAGATGCTCTCCTTGATGCTGGCTATGTTTGCGTTTATATTTGAAGCTGTTATGTTAGAGATTGTAAAAATAAGCAGTGACAACTACCCAGAAAACCTGCTCAGACATTACACATGGCTGGGGGGAGGAGGGGAGGACTTGGGGGGTAGTGGTAAAGAGAGCATGAATTTAAATGAAGCCAGGCATTTACCCCCAAATGGTATTTCAGCCCATACCAGCGCCCCTCATTAAATGTTTAACTTGAATTGTTAAGCAGTAAACCATTCATCAGAGTTCTATCTCTTTTCCCCTTCACCGCTTCCTTCTTCGAAAGGTAGACAAAAACCAACGGAGGAGGGAGAATAAAAGAACTTAGGGAATATTTCTTGAGAAAGTAAAAACGTATTTTATTAGACAAAGCAGCCCCCTTTTATGCTATCAATGGGACACTCGGTGGAGCCTCTGAATGAGGAATGGACCTTCCCAAACCTTTCCCAGTGACTGGAACTCCCTGCAGGCCGGGGGCATCAGTCCTGGGGACTAAATAGTCCCTGGAGTGCCCTGGAGTCAGGACCTTGTGGGGAGACCCTGGGTTTAAAGTAAAAAGAGGGCTCTTTGGGGGAAGGCAGGATTGGAGAGCCTTGCAGTAATGAGGGCCAGTTCTCTAATACAACTATATAAGTTTCTAGTAAAATTGGCAAAGTAAGTATAATCGTGTTTTCTCACCAAATTCAAACTTTGCCCTCACAACATACATTTGCATCCTGAGAGACTCTTGGCTGCTGGCAGTAGCTAAAACTCCTGACATTCTGCTTTTCAAAAAGTTTCACTGGTTGGCCAAACAACTAGGATTCAATTAATGGCATGTTGAAGTTTTTCAGTCATGGAGCTTCTGCAGAACTACTGAACCGTGGTCCCCCTTCAAGTTACTTCACCCACAACGATCTTCAATCATCAAGTTGAAGTGATTGCTTTGAACTCACAAGCCAGAGCAAAGAAATATAATGGGGACAGGATCAGGGTTCTAGGTCTAGTTCTGTCATTTCTTTGATCTCAGATTTCCAATGCCTGTAGTGCATTCGCTCACTGGTCCTCTTTTCTACATGTATCATGAAACTCTTACCCTGAGCCCAGCCTCATAGCAGGTTTCACCATGGACCCCTCTCAGGAAGAGGGACGTAAGGTATGGGAAACTGAAGTTATGAGACCCCAACTATTTTAGTCCTCGAGCCTGACCAATCCTGCCTCTCCTACCCTATCACCAGCATTTAACACTGTCCTTTTCAGAGTGCTTATTCTCTTCCATGTGCTATACTGGGTTTAATTTACTTAGTTCTCACAACCGCCTGGGAAGGCATGATAGTATTATCCCCATATCATAGACAAGCAAACTTAACTCAGAAGCCAGGTTGTACAACCACAGAGTTTCCATGCATTTGGGGTTCCAGGAGAAGGGATGCTCTCTGAAGAACAACTCCGTTGTTTATGAATAGTGCTCCTGGTGTTGGGTAACCCCATGACCCTGGGGGCTTTCACTGAGCAGGATCCAGGTTGAGTGACATTTCCATATCTTTTCACTGCCTCTCTCACACCTGTAAAGGGAGATCTGTGCATGAGAGAAAGACAGTAGAGAACATGGTGAACTCTGATGTCAATCACAAGAACATTCTGGAATCTTCCTTCCTATGTGGCCCTTCTACACCTTTTTTTTTTTTTTCTGTTCTTTACAAAGCCCTAGGTGGTAGATTAAGATGGGGTGGTGGGGCATGAGAGTTGATTTAAAAATTAATAAAGCAGAAGAGCAAAATCTGTCATTTTTCTCTCTCCACTTAAAACTCTGCCTTCACTCACATAAGTGATCACTTCATACCACAGGAGCTCCCCGAGACATCTTTGGATCCCCCACCCCAGTCTCATTTAGCATCTTCAGGTTGCCCCAGGGCTCTCTTTACCCTTGCTATCTTGTGGCTAGTTAGAACTAGTCATTTGACCAGAGCCATGTGCTTTTTGGTGGAATTGGGTGTGGAAGGATGAGGGGGCATATTCCTCCACAGTCTGGCTTCAACAAGAAAGAGAACATCCATGTTGCCCAACTTATAAAAAAAGTGCTCACTGGACACCTTAATCAAAGGGGAGGAACTTACTTTGAGTAGCTCCTACTGCGTGCTCCAGCACCTCTTACATCTCTTTGTTTCATGACTCTCGACTTCTATTTGAGTTGCGTTTTTTCCTTGGAATGTCTTTTTTCCATTTTCTATTCAAGTTTCAGGCATCTTCTACTTTAGGACAACTCCCTTTATTCAAAATATTACTGATACCTCAACAAGCTTTACCTGTGAGTTCCCCAAGTAATTTATACTCCTCCATCTCTGTCTTCAACAACTTAAAAGCTTATTTATCTTTGTGTTTCTGATTGCTTAGCCTTTAGCAGACCATAAATAAATATTTATTGAATGAGTTGAGTAGGGATTTAGAAAACTTACCTTATGAAACCATAGTCTAGTCTTACAATTATCTCCACGCACTAAAATTCTGTTTCTGGCAATGCAGGAGCAATTGCCTAAGAACCAGAATCAGGCTGAGCAAAATTTTCTATTTCACTTTCCTTTTAACTGAGGGAACATTAGGATTCCCCAATCAGGTATCACCATTGTAGCACACACATCACTAACACCCATATTCCACCACCACAGTCCAATATGCTGCCCTCCCTCTTTGTTCTTACCCCTTCCCAACCCCTCTGGATGCTAAGCAGTTACTCAAACTTTTTTTTAAAATAACAATAACTAGCATCTGTATTTCCAATATTAGTAATAACCATATCCAGGGCTGTATTAAGCACATTGCCCGTTTTAATCATTTAATTGTCACAACAATTCTATAAAATCATCCCTGTATAACAGATGAACCTAGAGAGGTGAAGTGACATGCTAAGGACACAGCCAGTCAGTGGAAGTTCTGGCTCAAAATCCATACTCTGAATTGCTCAGCCTCTCATAGAGAAAGACAGAGATGGGTTCAAACTTAAGAGTCATTCTAAGTTGAATGGTGGGCCTAGGTCCTAGGTCACAGGGGAGAATACATATTTTTTACTTCTTTCTCTGTCCTCCCATTACTTCACTCTCAGCTCCTTTACATAATTTTTGTGCGTGCGCACACATACACGTACCCCGCCACCCTCGGCAGCAGCAGTTGCGTTTTTACCCTTTTCTGAACAAGCAGGGCTCCGATCGTGAGTGGGCTAGGAGGTGTTGCACGATTCCAGTGATTTTGCTGAGTAGCTGGGACTATGGATGAGATGGTGCATGAATCCAAGCCGCCTGGAAGGGATGGAGCAAAGGGTTCTCTTTTCATGACAAATCCCTGAAGAATATTCCTTCAAGGCCTTCCTTTTGGGAAAAAATAAATCCTTTGTGGGAAACTTATTTATGATGCTGGGAAACAGGGTGGTCTTAAGATTAATTTTTATTTGTTCCACAAAGTGACCTTTATTGAAATCTGAATTCATTGCTGAGTAAGGACAAAGTGGAAGAAAGAATTTATCAAGAGGGCCTCCCCAGGGGCGCAGCGGTTGAGCGCTGGGTTGTGAAGCTGCCCGCGGCCTCTGCAGCGCCAGTTCGATCCCCAGCTGCTCTCCGGCCACTGGAGCAGGGTCCCACATGGCACACAGACCTCTCCTGCCGCCCGCTGCTCCCCTCAGCAGTGTACCTCGGTCCTTCCGCCTGCTCTGCTCCCCGCTCTGGCTCTGGTGAATTCTCTCACCCTCCCGCGCTTCTGACTGTACCCAGTGCTTGTATAAATAAATAAATCTTTAAAAAAAAAAGAATTTATCAAGAAAGTGTTGAAATTCAGTTATATTCAGTTGAAAAGTCATAATTTTAAATAAGAAAATTACCAAGTGCAACTTATGAACGTAGGTATCACAAAAGATGCTAAGGCTCCTCCAAGGTGGCTGCACAGACTTGAGGTCTGAGCACACATTTTTAAAGAGGTCTACAGGGATTTTGAACATCTTTGCACATGGATATTCCCAAATCCATTTTCAAGAAAAAAGGGAAGATATAAATTGTTATCAGAGCAAGGATTTAGATTGAAATATCTTCTTTTTTTTTTTATTTAAGAGATCTAGGATTCTGGGGTAGACTTTATTGGAGAGAAAGGGAAGATAGGTTTTTCTCTCTAGATGTGTTTAGAATTAGAAGATGAATTTATGATTTAGGAGTTCAGCTTGGAGGTGACTAATTGAACAAAATTTTAATAAGTTCTAATCTGTGAAGATTGGTTCCTGAATGTGTTAGTATGATTGTGACCAAAATGACCAGAACCAGCAAAAGTCAGATGATGAGTGGCCCCCAGAGGCTTTATTTAAAGCTAAGATTTGACTTGCTCAAGTGAACAGATGATGGAAACACTCAACTGGCAGTTTTCAGTGGGAAAACCAAAATAAAACAATGGATCCTAGGTGATTTCTCTTCCTTGATCAGGTCTCCCACTTGGTAAGCATGGCAATTCTGGATGAATTTAATACTCCTTTCCACTTTTCATTAAGGGAGGTTGTGTTTGTGTGTGAAATGCAAATGTTACTATGGTCCTACACCATATTAAAATTACAAAGCAAAACAGTGAGGTAAAAGATATTTATTGACACTGACCAAAACATATACAAATATTTCTGAAGAATGAGCTGAAAAACATTTCCTGGTTTATTTTCTCACACAGACGCCTATCATACTAAAGGCTTGGTGTGCTTTGTGTAGAGCACGCCAGGCAGAGAGCTGAACTGGGAGGGCAGATTTTGCCCTAAAGAACCACTCCACAGGGTGGAGTGGTGGAGGTGGTGTTCCTAGGATGGGGGAGACAGGGCAGCTTAGAGGAGGACGACTCTACTGGAGTTTCACTATTTACATCAGATTTGACTTGCTGGGGTTGGGCCTCAGGGCTGTGTTGAAAGTTGCTGCTGAACTGTGGCCTGGAAGCTCAGCAGCAGTAGAACCACCGAGAAAGAGAGTCTGCAAAGTATGTGGTGGCCCAGGCCCTTGGAGTCCAAACTGTATTTTTAGCAGAGTGACCACCCAGGCAGGACAAGCTGGTTGTGTAGTGACTGATGACAGTGACAGATCACCACCAAGAGTAACCATTTTGATGCCCCAAAGAGAAATGAAACAAAAACTAGCAAGAGGGAAGACATTTCCCACATCTGCCGGTCCTTTGGGGCACCGGGGCCACGCTCCATAATCAGTTGCCGTGACTGGGACAAGTTCACCCATGATGAACTTCACTCTTTCCATCCAAATTGCTTCATTTAAATTTTAAAAGGGATTTCCAAAACCAGGGAGATCCAGTAGAAAATGCAGTATAATGCATTTTACTTTAGAGTCATAAAACTTTTTAAATACTTCTGCTTAATTTCCCTTCCAGAAATCTGAAATTAGGTGTGATAAGTTAATATTATACAAATAGAGCTGCTTTCCATAATTTAGTCATGCCCCAAAAATGACCTTGCAGGAAATATTAAATATTACTCTTAAAGCAATTTGGACACAGATGGTCACTAACACACACTAACACACACTCACACACATTAGGAAAGGAAAAAAGTTTCTCCCCAAAGTGCCAGTTTTGTTTGGAAAAATAACGACGACACAATTAGAGGTAAACAATATTTTCTTCGGCTGCATCTCCAGTCTCCCCATCTTGTCTGCTCACTGTCTGCAGATTGAGCTTTGCTTCTGCTATAAATGTTTGCAGCGGAGGACGGTGTGGATCTGAGTCGAGGGTGGGAGGGCATTCAGTTTGAGAGGTGTCCCGATCTGCAACAGACAGACAGCGCAGGTTACAGGAATGTCAGACCCACAGCAGCAACACTATGACTCCGGGAATCCTGTCTCCAGGCGTGGTGGCACCCAGGGAGAAAGGAACAGAGCAGTGTCTGATGATTTAATCAGCAGCATTAAGCTATGTCCTGTCGGGTGTACAAATTTGTCTCCTGCAGCTAGAAATTACCTTTGTGAAATACTCCTAGAAAAGAGCCAAACAAATGCAGACTTGTCACCATTTGTGGGCTGTTAAAACACTGCTACTGCTGAGACAGTGTGCCCATTTAGTTTAAAAATGGGTTCAAGACCTTGGAAATACAGCTGTATGCAATAAACTGTATTTGCTTCTGTGTAGCACCTTATCTCAGAATATCTCAAAGCCAGAACTGATCTTAAGGGTCCAATACTGTATCTGGGACTTTACAATGAGGGCAAAGGGTGGGGAGAAAGGAGCTGGAAGATCAAGAAGACCCTCCAGCCTTGGCATCATGCAAATCTGGTGACACTACCAATCACACAGCGAGAGTAGCCAGGTAGCAAGGGAAAATCCAATTGTCCCAGTAGCAATTGCGTTTGTTTCTTCTGGTTACCTAGCAACATCAGGACCTATTCTAGATCCTTTTTTCTGATAAAACCCTCTAATATGTGGTTTAAAAGGGAGACCAAGGGGATTTTGATTTGAAGGGAAAAAGGCTCTTGTGCAAACCACGTTTTCTGCACTTGTTCTACGCACCACCCTCTGAGGCTCAGCTATATGGCAACGCTACAGACTATAAGCTTCAGTGGAGGTCAAAGCAGAGTGTGCATGGAACCAGGAGGGAAAGATGGGCTGGCATGAGGCCCGCCTGCCCTTGTCAACCTTGATTCAAGCCCTCTATTATTAAACACTCTCAACTGGTGGCATCGTAATGACAAAATGCTCAGGACTTCTGCCCAGGACACTTAGCTATGACAGAAGGCAGGGAACATGGCTGGGTAGAAATGAAGGACAAAGTATCCATACAAGGCTCCATTTTTCAGGGAAGGATACCCTTTTCCACACTTTCTTTCATTAATTATTCCTACAGGAGATGGAGGCCACGGGAGAGGGACAGCCAGAGCCAAAGGAAGAAAACACTGGTCACCTGGAGAAACTGACTGAAGCCTCTGAAACTGAGGTGGACTCCTGAGGGGAGAGGGAGAGCATGAGGGGACCGCATCCACAGCTCTGCTCAAAGGTTTAGGCCGTCCCCAACTCTAGGTGCAATGGGACACAGAGAAATATAGACATTTACAATGGGGTACCTTGACTGTACTGACCTCCAACTCCAGATCCTGTTCCTCTAATACCAGGAGGTCATGAACCACTGAAGACACAACTACTGATGATGTTTCTAGCTACCACCACGTACAGAGTATCTCCCTTAACACAGAAACTGTTCTAGGATCTTACTATCTCTTTAAGCCTCAAAATGTCATGATCCACAATTTACAGATTGGGAAACTTAGGCTCAGGCTAGTCAAATTCTTGGCCAACATCATGCCCCAATGAAGTAATCTAAATTTACCCAGAGGGCTGTTGCCCCTGGGAGACACTCTGCTTCTCTGACCAAGATTCTCATGATTCCCATTTCTCACTGGAAATTTCTTGGCCACCTTTTCTGAATTGTAAGAATTGTAAGAATGTTAAATGGTTCTTCTCCCTAAGTACCACATTTTGAAGTCACTGGCAAAAAAAAAAAAAAAAAGACATTCGAAGTTCCTCAAAACTGAGAGTAATTACGAAATATTGTCACAAATACTGTTAACATCCACCCTCAGTATCAAACACAAAAACCCTCTAACAATGATTTCAGTATCAGGGAAAGACGACAACTCAACCTGACTGGCCTCCATCCTATTTTACCAATAGGGAGATAACAGCCACCCGTCCTGTCACAACACACTGTCATGCTTTCAACTCATTTCCCAACCATTGAATAAAACGATTTCATCTCTAAAAAATAAATATTCTCAATTTAACTGCTGATATTTAATATTACACTACACACACACACACACACACACACACACACACACACACACACACAGGCTGGCAGGTTGGAGAACAGGGCACCTAAGCCGCTACACTGTTGCCTCCCAGTCAACAGAAGTTCCAGCCAGGGCAGGAGAAATACCACATGGAAAATGAATGATGATCTATGGAATAAGTGGGCCGAGAGGTGATTGCTGCCAAAGGTGGCAATGCCAGGCACTCCAGAATGCCTTAATCCATGTTAAGTGCCCTTCTCTGGAGTCTGAACCATGTAGCAAAGTATCCAAAATACTGGTGAGCCTAGGTATGCAGGAAATTACCCTTAATTGTTTCAAGAGAAGATTTGTTAAAAAAAAAAAGTCAAAGAACCAAACATATCAGAAAGAATTCTTTTATCTTAATATAAATTGTAGGCTCCAATTCAGGAACATAAAGAACCAAGAATGAGAGAAAGAGAGAAAGAGAAAGAGAGAGAGAGAGAGAAAGAAAAAAGAGAGAGAGACAGAGAGAGCGCGCACACGAGCGTGTAAGAGTGTGTGTGTGTGTGTGTGTGTGTGTGTGTGTGTGTAAGGGGCTGCAGAGCTCAATCAGTACTTTTTCAAATAAGAACAGATAGCAGGAGAAAAACATCTCTAGGTGAGAGCTCGCTGGGCTAAGGTGACTGGCCCACACTGTAATTCCAGATGTAACACTGGAGGCTGTTGTGGCTGTGTGTCACCTGGACTGGAACTCAATTTCCTTTTCCATGTTCCTTCTGGGTTTCTACCTGAACTATCTAGGCAAGGTCAGACTGTCTGTCTTTGAAATTAGAAACTGCTCCATGATTTCTGATTTTATTACTCCATTTCAATCCTGAAAGGACTCCAGCACAGCAATTGTATATTTCTCAAGGTCAGTCACCTTTTTCCACACTTTTTACCCTAGAGAGTATGGTCATCATATAGTACCCTAAACTGAAAAAACATTTGTTAAAGTAAAACCTCATGATTCAGAAAGCAGAATTGTTTGGGAGTAAAATTAATCATCCAATTTCGGTTGTGATCAAAAATGCCTGTAACATTTCTAATCATGAAAGAAATAGAAAACCATTTTTAATAAGAAATATTGGTAAAATAATAATTCGTTCAACTAAAAACCAAATGCCATTGTAATGAAATAAAACTTCAAACTACAAACAGCCTTTAAACCAAATATCTCAACACAACTTTTCCTCTTGACATAATTTAATCCTTATATTTCTGGAAAGTAATCAGAGTAAGCACTAGCCTTAAAATAAGGATGAATAAACTGAAACACATTAAAAACCCCAAAACCTAACTAAACCAAGTAGAGAAACAGAATCGTGGTGCAGGTGTTTCTTGTTTATTTGTTGTTTCTGGTGTGTGATTTTGTTTTGTTTTTGCTGCATAACACCTTTTATTCATACCATAAATCTCCATCCTTCACTGAAATTTCCTTAGACTCATAGAAGGGTTTAAGTCCATATTCTAACTAAGTTTGAAAAAAAATCGTTAAGTGTCCACATTTGGACTAAAGGATTTCCTTTTACTCATAGGGCAGAAAGCAGTCAGGATACCAGGAACATGCGCAGTGTGATTTACATCCAGACAGTCCCCTGATCCTCCCAAGTGTGGGTCCTCTGTTGCAACCTATTGTTTGACATCTGTATTTACCAATTTTTACACTTTGCTACGTGCTGCTGGGATTTTAAACTATCAGATTAAAGAAAGTGGAGTTGGGGTAACATGACTATAGAGATCAATTCCGGGACAGAGGACACCAGCAGGAAGCAATACCGTCTACTGTTATAATAAAGTAAGTTAGAGAAAAGAGAATGTTAAGTCATAAGACAAAAAAACTTATAGAATTGTACTCTTTTGATACTATAAGTTTACAAGAAAATCTGTGGATTTTTAACCTTGAACTGTGGATCCCCACAGTTTAAACCTATATTGTTCAGTTATAGTTGGAAAGCTGCTTAAATGACTGGAAGACGGGCCTCCCCGGTGGCGCAGCGGTTGAGCACTGGGTTGCGAAGCTGCCCGCAGCCTCTGTGGCGCCGGTTCGATCCCCGGCTGCTCCCCGGCCACAGGAGGAGGGTCCCACATGGCAAGCAGACCTCCCTGCCGCCCGCTGCTCCCCTCAGCAGTGTACTTCGGTCCTTCTGCCTGCTCTGCTCCCTGCTCTGGCTCTGGTGAATTCTCTCACCCTCCCGCGCTTCTGACTGTACCCAGTGCATGTATAAACAAAACAAACAAAAAAAAAATAAATAAATAAAGCATGCCTCTATAAAAAAAAAAAAAATTAAAAAAAAAAAAAAAATGACTGGAAGACAATGCCCATAATCAAAATTCACACCTGATCTCCCTTCTAAGGCAGCAAATTTTAGAGTAACTTATTATAAGGAATAGGTTGTTGATAAATCAAAAAGGCTTTTCTATCATTTTAATATAGTTATGGAGTCTTTTCCGTTTCTTGGATTTTCTCAATAAAAAACATTTTAACTTGTTTATTTTAACAAACAAAAGGCTTATTTACATTTAAAAGCACCAGTGTAACTTTCGTCCTAAACATTAATTGCCAAGGTCTGAAGTTAGCTCAATCGTAAGCCCTATGCTACAAAAAAGCAAGTTGCATCTACTGTGAGGTCATGGCTACCTTAGGGTCCACCCTCTCTGTATTCTCCCAGTCCATTCTCCTCAACAGAGGTCTCCAGTTTCGTATCTTCTGGACCTCGGCTCTGTTCTTGCTTACTTTAATGAAGAGTTCAGACATGTATACTTCTTATTACTATGTTCTTTGTGCATTTTCCTAAAATCAAGACTCACACTTTCCTAGAATAATTCTACCTTAAACAAAAGTGTCCTTGAAGTCTGCAAAATAAGCCGTAGTCCCCATTTAATGATAGATTCACGCTTATACTCTGAAACATTCAAAAAATCGTTTCCTCATGGCATTACTGGCAATCACTATTTTTTCT